GACGAAAAGCCTTGTGTTTTCTCGTTCTCCTGCCCGTTGCTCTCTTCAGATTAACGGAGAGGCAGTGGAGCAGGTGGAGAAGTTCAGGTACCTCGGAGCTATATTTACTAGTGACGGAAGTTGGAGGAAGAGATCGACCGGCGAATTGGTGTAGCCAGTGGCGTTCTGCGTGAACTAGCCCGACCTATTGTGACTAAAGCAGAGCTCAGTCTGAAAACTAAGCTCTCGATATTCAAGTCGATCTTTATCCCCATTCTTACCTATGGTCATGAGTCGTGGACCATCAGTAAGAAACTTCGAAACCGGGTAGAAGGTGCTGAAAAGGGCTTTCTTAGACGATTTGCTAGCCTAACGCTTCTCGATATGCTCCGGATTACCGACATCTGGGAGAGCCTTGTTGTATAGCCTCTGTTTCTCCAGAAGGGAAGGCTAAACAACTGTTTCTTGCCAAACGGACCCGAAGAAAGCCCAGGGAAGTGCCAAAATTAACCTGGTGCAAATAAATGGAATTAATCTGTCCCAGAGTCCAGCTCTCTTCTGCCGAATCTCAGACTCTAGTACAGGATCGGAATTGTTGAAGCTCTGTCTATCGCGTCTACCTCGGAGACCCGAAAGGAGAAGCGGCCATAGAAGATGACAATGAAGATGAAAATTACCGTTTAACTGGTAATTCCCTTTAGCAAAGAAATTTCCCCAAGCTGAATTTGTGGATTCAGATGAGACCCAAGCAGCAATCGTTGAGTAGCGAACAGCAGGGGCAGAAGGGTGTTACAGTGCGCTAACACGATAATGGCAGAGAGATACAGTCCTGTTGCCTGAATCCAGCACCTCAGGGGCTGCCATTTGCCTCGACCCAGCTGATCGCTGACGAAGCCGCGTGATAATCGACACAATGTATAAGCCGTGTTGTTGTTGCAGCGTAAAAAGTAAACACAGTACGCAAGTTAACGGTTTACGGGCGAAACATTACAGCCAAGCGTATATAATCTGCTTTCGCTCAGTGAAACAGAGTAAATTCCGCATTTTAACAATCATTTTGTGATAAAGAATTATAAAAGCAAATTAATCGAAACAAGAGAACGAACATAAAGTCATGAGTTATGACTAGGAAAGGCAGAAACAAACAAACAACCAGACCAAGACATCGTTACATGATTCAGAAAAATTCATTAAGACAGAAAAAGTTAATCGAAATCCGCATATATTTTGAAGACGCTAATATGCATAATAACTTTTATCGTCCAATTAACGTTTGTTAAATCATATATAATATATTTAATGAAATCTATTTGCAAATCGTGAATTTTTATGTCAAAAGCAGACGGGCAAATTATGTGTGAGCAGTTACTCACCTTGTAAATTTTTCGGCAGACTGAGTACACCTTGACGTTGGAGACACTTGGCGATACGGTCGAGA